CCCCAAAACCCCAAAACCCCAAAACCCCAAAACCCCGGACATAACAAATTTGATTGAAAATCCTAAAAGTTACAATTTCTACCAATCTTATAACCCCAAAATTCACATGTTATATTTTGAAAGCCATTCTTATGCTCATAAACACTCTTAATGACCACCTTGTCCAAGTGTACCCTTTTGTTCAAGCTCTTCGATCATGACGATCAACTTTCTATTAGCACTGTACAGCAACCTAAAAGATCATGGAAAGTTTGGCTTACTTTCTGAGCATGATGTTGTCGAGTATGATCTCATAAACCATGTCCAGTATATCTTGTTTAGTCTCAGTGTCAGGCTATTTGTAGTGTGTAGAAATTACCTTGTGACCACATTTTTCCCTGATTTGTCATTCGTAATCATTTAGTTCCTCATCAGCAATCTTTTCAAGAAATTCGAATTTTTCTTTAGAGTTTTTGTCACGGCATTTATTTCTAGAGTTATTAAGGAGTTTACTTGTTATTTTTGGTATAGGACATCAAAATCTGTCTTCTGTAGTAGCTCAAAGATAATATAACACTCATTTATCTCATCTTCTGTAGAATCGAACTTTTTCTTTTCTTGCACCAGCATATGAGTTGTCAGAGTCAGCAAGTTTACAGTTTGCCAGAGATCAGCGTTCATGTAAGTTATGGAAGACATAAACCCTAGAAGAGTAAATAGAAATATACCAGCAACTCAGCTTGTAGCTGCATCCATTTTTGAATGATATTGCTTTATTGTTTCCATATCTTCAATTTCTTCTTTGATTTTCTGATTAAGGATGCAAATGTATTCAAATTCGCTCTTATTTAAAGTCGATTTAATTTTACTCTCTTGAATTTTTCTATACAATTACTAAAATAAATACCTGAGAAACTCTAGACTATTACAAGCCTTCTGCCTCTCCATGTAAATTCTCATCTTAAGGCCGATTATATTACTCTTTTTAAGTAAAATGGCTTGTTTGATTATATTAAGCATGTTGTCAAGCTCCTTTTTCTCCTCAGGGGTTTTAACATGCTTTCTATAAAATATTGTTATTTCTGTATTATTTTTCTCTAAATTTGAAGTTGGGAACTAGCTTTAAAGATACTAAGTTAACTTAGAGAATTTAAATAGTATTATTTCTTTGATCCTTGAAATCCATCAAGATATAACATTATAAGTAGCTTTCCAGCTCACTGAGGTAGAGTTCTGAAGGATCTCTTCGAAAGTAGAGTTACATCCTCAGAAATCAATTAAAGCCAGATTAAAAATATTAAAAATAGTGGGAGAATGTTTTCACAAAATTAGATCTTAGAATTAAATTCTAAAACTTTCCTCTCATATCATGAATAAATTTTCTCTTATCCCAGAATCCCTACAGAACAGGGTCAGCTTACTAGAGAACTTTGGAATATTTAGTATCCTCAGAATGTGGCTCTATCCCACTCTAAAAAAACTCATTTCAAGGTAGAATTCTTTCTTAGTTTTCAAAGAATTTAGCTAAATTTAAAGTAGAAATTCATCCAAAGGATAATTTAATTTGAAAATTTAAAACATTTTTAGCATATATAGTAATTTTTTGCACAATATGTAGGAGTATTTTTGTAAATTTGGCTCAAATTTAAATCTTTTCAAGTTTTAATATGTATAGGGAAGTTAAACAGAATAGATTCTATATTATCAAGCAGAGCTTGTCTTATGAGATTAAACAATGCTGATATTATTGAGGAAGAAATCGTAAATTTTATAACTGATTTACACAAAACTGTTCAAAAAGATGACTAGTAAAGAAATAAATCTTAGCTAGTTATCCTTGAAAACTTCTTTTATCATAATAGCTTCAAAGTTAATCAAGAATTGAAAGAGTTTTGGGAGTTGGCTTTCTTGACGATATATATTCTTCATTTAGTCCCAAGCAAAACTGTATTCTAAGTGAAGAACAGAAAGGTGATAAAATCTATACTCAGAGATGTAAAAATTGGAGCTAATGCTCAAAGGAAAACTCATCAATCAAGCCATGAAAGAGGGTCTATTCTCCCCATATAATGTAATGATTAGTGAAGAGCTTAGAAAATATGAGAAGTTAACTATGGAACTTCTATGACTAATAATGGAGAGTTAAATCTATTAGACTTAACATATCTCTGTTAAATCTATCCTTAGGATTTTAATGGTTGCAATGAGTTCTCTTACTTTGAACTAATTTCAATTCTTGATGCTGTTATTTTCATTATAACCTCATTGCCTCTTCTAAAAGTTTGTACATTTCCTGTCCTCCTTTTGCTGATTCTTTGAATGGGCAAATATTTAAGTGAAGATATCTCACCATTGATCCCCACATTTCATCAAACTTCATCTTTTTATCTGGGTTGTTTTCATCTTGATTTATATTTAACCTATTCCATGGGGAAACATATTCTCCGACGATTTTGCCAAGTATGTCTTCACTAAAATGATATTTAGACCAGAATGGTTACCTATTTTCAGGTGCAAAATTTTCATCTTGGCCATTTATTCCGTTTTCATCCTCTTGGTCAATATCATCATCTTGGTCTAATAATTCGTCGTAGTTGACATTTGGATTGGTGATCTTCTTCACCACTTCTATTAGAATTTGAGTTTTAGTTCATGTAAAATAAAAAATATACGATTATTGAGAATATAGCAACGAAAAGTTTTTACATTTTTGCTCAAAAAGTTTTCTACAATTATTCTGAACCCCCAAAACTTCCAAGATAGCATACGAATGTCTTTGAAAATCCATATTTATTTGTTTAAGGTGATTTAAAGAAAGCCAGAAAGAGGAATCAATACTATAAATTTAGAAATAAAAATGCGTGGTGATATTTTCATTCGTTTACCTGAATACTCATTTTCTACAAGTTTTAGCTTCTCTTGCACATCTCCTATGAATATTGTTAAAATCTCAGATCTTGGATGGAGTTAATGGAGAGGTAAGAAACTAGAACAACCCTTTTTTCTTCAAATATAGCATAAACTAATCCCAATAGACAAAGAAGAGCATTGAACATTTAAAGATACTCTCACTAATTAATTTTAATCTGAATTATTCTTTTTATGGTTGAAGTAAAACTTACAAGCTCATTGCATTATTTCCTTATTTCATCTAAAAATGTTCACACCTAAAGCATACCTGGTCTAACTCACTCATTTTCTTCCCTGCATTTGATTGTCTAGACATGGAAGAAACCCTAGAGTTTCTAGACTTAGACGATCTTTGAGAGCCAACTTCAAGATTATTCTTGTTCTTATTTTCTTCCTTTCTCTTATTCATACCGAAATTGTTCACTAATGTATTAAATAAACTACTTTACTTTTGCCTGGGTCTAGGTTATCTGGAACGTAATCTCTTGCTTCCTAAAATAGTGAATATTAAGTCCCTACTGAGCCATCTTCACCTTCTCCCATGTCTTGTCTTTTGAACTCTTCATCTTCGTTTTTGACTATAAGTTTTAAGTTTCAGCTTACAATATTTATATGCAAAGAAGTAGCCATGCTTTACTGCGATTCTGGAAATTTCATTTGCTTCAATAGGCATTTTCCAAGGACGGTACTTGTCCTTCTTATTGAAGAGGAGGCCTCATTCGTTTCTACCCCATCCATAGATAGAACGGCCGGTGTCTGTTTCCTCTACTTTTTCGTCTATAACAAGATGAGTCACAGTAAAATTAAAAGGTATGGAAGATTTGAAATTTGGAGGTAAAAGAAATCAAATAAATTTAAACCCAGATTTACTCTCTTCTCCAGCTGAACCAAAGAAGTCAGCCAGCAAGAACGAAGTGTTATTGTATGCTTCAATTTGTATTGCCTTTTTGAATTTTTCTTTATTTTTCGAAGGATAAACTTTAACAGGTTCATAGATAATATCTCTTTTTCTATTTTTCATCTTTCTTCATTCTTGGTTTGACCCCAACCTGTCCAAATTCATTGTCTCCCCATGCATATACTGATCCATTAAAAGTAAGAGCAAGAACATGGTTAGATCCTACTCTTACTTCTTGCACTCCTTCTGGTATCTATAGGAACGATTAAGCTAAGGTAAAATATCTTAAAAATTAAAGTGCTATTTTTAAGATCCTCAAAGTAATTTTAATAAAATTTTATTCAGAAAGAACTTACATTGACTTTCCCTAGCTTTGATCTTCCCTCATTGCGTCTGTCTCTTCTTCCAAGGCATCCTAAAAGTTCACCACCAAATTTTATACCTTTAGAATTAAGTCCCCAGGAGTAAAGATCCCCATTTGAATACAGAATAAGTTTGAATTGGTTTCCGAATACCACATCGTAGACAACAGATTCTTCTTCAGAAGCAGGAGAGCTCATATGATCATCAAATGGATCTGAAATGTTAAAGTTGCAGTAAATAGGACCAATAGCTATAACTTTATTCTGTAAATCTTACCATCAGGATCCCATTTTCCCCAAATAGCAACTGAATTAGGTTCATTACCATTAGCAGGTCTGAAAAGCTGTTGTTCTTCTTCATCCTCTTGATTAAAATACTCCTCTGTAGCCTTCTGCTTGCCTTTCGCTTTGTTAAGTGCCGTATCCATTTTCATTATAATTTCAGTTTCCTAATTTCCAAAAGGGGTTTTGGGGTTTTGGGGTTTTGGGGTTTTGGGGTTTTGGGG